GCAGGACCTTGCTGGTTCTGCTGCTCGGGACGGTGGCGCCCATCGCGGTGGTGGGGCCGGTGCCGGTGTCGGTGCGGGTGGTGGTGATGGGAATGTTGGTCAACTGGATTCAGCTCAATCTCTGCTAGCTTTTCATCTGCCTTTTTAGTGATGTTTTCGCATATATCGTCAATATCGGGTTCCTAGAAAATAATTTTTAAAAACAGTTCAAACAGAACATTGTACCTAATTAAATTATTGTAAAACAACACAATCACAGAATGGTAGAGGTTGGAAAGGACCTCTAGAAATCACTTAGTCCAACCCCTCTGCTCCCCCTGGACACAGGGGGCATCCAGGTGGATTTGGAAGATCTCCAGATACGGAGACTCTACAACTTCTGGGCAGCCCATTCCAGGGCTCTGTCACCCTCACAGTAAAGAAGTTCTTCCTCACATGGAAATTAAGATAATAACCTTGATATTTTTCAGTACCTGAAATCAAAGCAATGGATATTTTAAACTATTTTTATAAATATTTTTGAAAAACTGATGCTGTAACATAAAAAGTAAACAACAGCTTATATTTCCGTACAGAAAACAATCATCAGTTAGCTCTTTGGCTTCAAAAAAATAAAATACAAGGACACGGAAAAAAAAAAAAAAAAAAAAAAAAAAAAAGGTTCTATCTTTTTGGAGATCTTTTAAGTCCACTTCAAAAGTATGTGGGTAGGATGAAAGCAGAACAAGTTAGTGCCAAGCAGGGGATCTGCAGAAGGGTCTTGTGAAGGGTCTTGCAGGAAAAAGGAAAACTAAGAAATATCTGCCTCCAAGATATATCTGTGAGGCTCGGTCTTTTGAACATCTCAGGTTATTGGGCATAATTGCGTTTTTTTTCCTTGTTGTGCTCCTGAAGCAGTTTGTCGGGGGAGTAGCTATGAAAACAACATGAGAGATGGGATTTTGGAGACTTTTCAATAAAGCTAGATAACATTTTTCTTTACATAGTAAACCCTTATTTCAGAAACATGGAGAACACGAAATTTGAAAAGGAAATTCTCTTGTTGAGCTACTTGATGTCACAGGTTCTTAATTCAAGAGAAGCACAGCAATTGACCGGTAAAGGAAAAAAAATAGGGAGAAAGTGGTTGTGATCAATCAGGCTAGATTATTTCAGCTATGAGTACCTGCATAAGAACTACAAACCGAAGGGGAAGTAGGTATACAGGCACTCTGCAATTCCTTCTAAACATCCTATGCAGCGTTTGAGATCTGAATTCTTCCGAATCATCCCCTTTCAGACTGTCTCAGAAAGAAGTGTCTCCTTCTGTGGGAGCTACCTCATGGAAAAAAGGCATCGCTCTCAAAAGGAATGTTGTTTTACAACATCACGGGTAACTGCACAGGGCTCCAAATGTTAAATTTCTAGGGAATTAAAATTCATATAATTGCTAATAAGTGTTTTCTTATGCTAGGATGCCATATTTGACCACCCGTGGCCTACAGCTGGAAAACTGTATGACAGAAATTGAAACCATGATGCTTCTGGCTGAACTTTCACATCGCGGTATGTACATTTTTGATAACCATTTAGTCCTGATCTTCAGTTATATTTAAAACAAAACTGCTTTATATATATAATGGAACCAATACTTGTAATCTTGTATTACCACTTTTTCATCAAGTATTGTATAGTGTTTTTAAATATAAAATAATGAAGTAACTCAGACCAGCTCAGATTTTACTCCCAAGTTTGTTGCAAGTATACTAGTTGTTTAAGTACCTATGTTGCCTGCCAACACTGGAATACTGAATGAACACCAAGTATATGTAACTCTAGGAATTGAATAGCATCCAAGATTGCACTTAAATTACTGAAAACTATTCACATTTTTATCAAGGGCAGGAATAATTAGTTGATTCTAACTTAGATCTGCTTCATTTTGAAAAATATTTTAAAATTATCTAGCGAACAGGTGTGAAATTTTTAGATTCCAAGAAGTCATGTATTTGGAGATTAATCTCATGGAAGTAATTCTTTTTTAAATACCAGCCAAGTCCACTTTCACTTCCTAGTAGGTACAGAATGAAATAACAAAATACCGTATAGGAGCAATTTCCACACTTGTTTTCACAGTATGCAATCTTTATAGATTCTTCTACGTATTGAAAAGACAGGAAGGAGTAAGGCAGACCAAGATGATACACTAGACGGCCGCATCTAAGGACAAAAAGAGTTTTGTAGTTACATACACATAAACATATATACATGATTAAATCTCTCTTCATAGTGTCTTCTTATTTTATTCACCCCAGTCCTCCCATACTCTTACACTCCTACAGAGACTGTTTCTCTGCAAGGAGTAAAAAGCAGTATCTGCATCACACACTTCTGCCCACTCAGCCACAGCAGTCAACAGGGTGAAGCATGGTTTCCTACTGACATATTCCCTTGGCAGAAGCCTCCATTTAGCAGTATGGAGACTACCAAAGGAACACTCTTCACACAGCCATCTTGCTGATGAGGACTTCTGTTTGCATAGTGATCCGAATCACAGGATGGTTGCTGCATTCATGCAAGGAATGTCTGAGTGCAGCATAACATGTCTCTTGGCAGGAAGCATGCACTGGTGATGTGGTATGCATCAAGGTGCATGTTTGCCCTGCGACAGCTGTTGAGTGTTCAGGTGAGCAGCTGGAACAAACATGGAAGTTGTGCAGCAGGCACCACGCTGAGGGCCCTGCTTGCAATCTGGGCAACAAGTGTCGCCAGCCAGAGCTCTCTGCATGGGTGCAGCCGAGGAGCAGCAATGGGCACAAACTTCATTGCTAATAAGGACATAGCGGGTCCCTTCATGGGCTGCATACAGCTTTGTTGTGTTCCTCTGTCAGGTGACAACAACTTTCCTCACAGATACTCAGGCATATTTGCTGCAGAAACAGCCATTCTCCCTCTAAAGATCATTTAAGTGTTCTTTGAAGCCCACAGGCCTAATATATCTAATTTGTACAATCTGCGTCATAGTAGAAGAAAAAGAATTCAAATTCTTTATTAAACTTAATTAGGTTTCAGTGTGAATTGAGAATGTTCTTCGCAGTAACATAGTGATTATTAAGATGGACATCTTAGAAATGTAAAACTAAGAAAATAGGATTTTAATTAAGTAATTATTAGTTGTCCCAAAAGATAACATGTCCCAGAATCTTTTGATCAAAAATCTAGGTTTTTTTAAAAGTGTTAAGTTTCACCTAAAAACTATTTTTTCTACATGGTGACAGGAAGGTTACATGGCTTTTCAACCAGTTTTAGTTAAAATGTTTTCATGAAAAATTAGGTAGTTTTTCTAGCTTGATTCTATTTTCACCTGCCTCCATGATTTGAAGTTTTCAGAGAATAAAAACAGTGTAGGAATCACACCATGTGTTCTCAGTTTTAATATATATCCATCGTAACTATACTTCTGTAAACAAAAGCTGACTTTTGTAGCTTCCTTCTTCCTGTGAAAGTCAAAATTCTTTACATAGTGCAACTCAGAAGCTGATTATAATGTCTATGCTGTAACTAGGTTATTTGCAAATTGATGAATTATAGCAAACTACGAAGTATAATTTCAAGTATATGCAAATATTTTCTACACAGACCTGTCATAAATGAGAAAATCATCTTTGTTTCCATTTAAGATAGTCCAGACATCAGCTTGCTGTTCATCCTGCTGGTAGACATTAATATAGTCTGAAACACTTTCTCTCAGTAGGTGAAATTTCTTTTGTGACTGAGTTCCCTGGTGGTTGACAACTACATATGAGATATTGACCAGTCCTTCATTCTCTAACTTCACTCGCAGGTCCTCCAGTCTAATAGAGAATGTAAAGAAAGAAGATCATTAATCAGCAGGGAATCATAAGATTATTTTGTTTTGCAAGATAAAATGATATTTTTGAACACATGCATGCTTTCAGAGATCAATGATTTGCCTTATTCAGCAAAAGCTAGTAAGTTCCATCCTGTTTTCATTGAAGTGAATGTGATTTCCTTAACGTTTTAATGGATGCAAGTCTAAAACTAGTAAAACAGATTCTTGCTATTTGCCATCACCGTCAACTATGTTTTCACCAAACCAGATCATACAATAGCTGGCAGCTTACTGACATGTCATGGTTCTTGTCTTTTTAAGTAAAATATAGTATTAAATCAAG